CCCCCCCCCCCCCCCCCCCCCCCCCGCTGCCATCTGGCACCCGGGCCCTGCCGGGGCTCCCGGACACGGCAGAGCCGCAGCAGGTCTGGGGTCAGCGCCCACCGCACACTCCTCCTGTCCTGGGGGGCTCAGCCCCGGCTGGATGCTGGAAAACAAAAGCCTCTCCTCGCCCTCACCCTGGGTGCACCGGCCCAGGGCTCTTCCGAGCAGGAGAAATACCCCTGGATCGGCTGGATGTCATGGGAAGCTGGAATTACCACTGTCCTACCGGCCCGTGAGCACCAGCGTCCTCACCGGCCTCTCACACAAACCCTGTGGATCCAAACGGGGGCAAAGGAAGGTGTCGGATATCAATAAAAGTTGCTATCACAGCCATTAAGTTCTATTTTATGCAGATACAAAGATGTAGAAATATATAATACCTAGACAAGTGTGCAAGCCACTTCTTTTTCCAAGTCAAGGATCTTCCCTTCTCTTGTTCTCTTCCCTTCCCTTCTCATCGCAGTAGTTTGTATTTGAGTTTACAGGTTTTCTTAAAAACACCTCTGGCTGTTCACTTACACTTTTTTTTGAAAATGAATTTGCTAGTTATCAGAATAACTTTCAATTAATAATGGGGAAAAGTATATGTAATCAGAATATAAAATTGCATGGCATCCCTGCAGGGTCCCCTGCCAATGGGTTAAAACTGGATGGTCTTTAAAGTCCCTTTTAACCCAAATCGTTCTGTGACTCTGTGATTCCATGATTTGATGATTCTATCATTTCACATTTAAGGATTATTCTTCAGTCTGTCTTGAAAACCAATGCTGAATTTTCACAGATCTTAAAGAAGGTGAAGCTTTTAAAATATTCCCGTCTGAGGTGTTTTAAAAGCCCAGATATTCTGCAGCATAAACCAGCTTATCTCCCAGGACACAGACTCAATGTGTGTCCTGCTTTTGGTGAAAAATGCTAATTAACTGCAAAAAAGAGAGCAGAGCACAGGAACACCCAACATTGTAATCTTGTAGGCTTCAATCTTTCCAGCCTGGAAAATCCCCTGTGCCAAGACAACTACAGATCCATGGGTACACACTGGAATACCGTGTGTGCTTTGCTTCTGTTCGCCTCCACCACCCTTTTAACCTCAGGTTGGAGGGTAAACTCCAGGAGAATAAACTCCAGGAGTCAGAGCTCCTGCCTCTGGCCGGGTGCTCACAGCCCCTGGCACAATGGGGCACTGTGGTAAAGCAGCCACGGCCTTTCAGGGCATGTAAATGAGATAAATAGCGATGGGCTGTAATTAATTCACGATTCTGAGCCGTCCCCGGATGCATTCCCGGGGAATGGGGCTCCTGGAACAGCCACAGACCCACCAAACCCCTTTGGAGGAGAGGTTACAGTCCCGCGAACATGTTGCAAACACAATGTTGTTTTTAAAGGTGTGGCAAAATTATGCAACTCCACTTTTCCACCTCTGCTTTCAGCTCTCTGCAAAAAAACCCCTCCTGCTTCTGTGCTTCTCTCCTAGAAAGGCACCTGCACTGATGAGAATTCACAGGGTGCTGAGGATTTAATTCCCAAGGATGCTGATCCATGGCTATTACTGTGAAAAGGGCCTGGAGAATGCTGGGTGTGGTACAGAAATGCTCTGTGGTGGTGGTAGTTTTTGCTCTCTGCTCTAGAATTATCTGCCCAAAATACTTATCTCATATGGGTAATGCTGGATGAGGGACAGTACCCTTTGGAATGAAACCCCTTTCCAGATCTGACCCTTCCTGCTTACTGTCACAGAGAGATTGGGCTCCTGCACTGGTTGCACACCTGGCAAAGTTCCCCAGAGCCTTCAGCAACACAAAATCCCCAGTTACAGGCACCTAAAGGTATCTTTACCTTTCTTCTCCCCCATCAAGTGCATCCTGCTGGCACAACAGCTGGGAAAACGGAATTAAAATGATTCCTGGTCTGACCTTGCAGGAATCTGAACCAACATCAGAGCTGAGTGTGAGTCTATATTCATGGATCTGACTTCCCCACCTTTCCTCACGCCGAGCTGTTCCAGGAGCTGGATCTGAGCTGGTTCATCACCACAAAACCCCCTGTCAGGTGGACTATCCACTTCCACATTGCAAATTCCAAGGGAAGGTCAACTGATCACTGGAGACTAAAAGGGCAATTCCCTCAAAAATCAAGAGTGTGGTGGCAACTCATCATCACTTCCATTCTAAACAAAGTCAGCCCAAAACACTGAGGCTGCTTTTGGCATATTCAGCTTCAACCACAGCTTTAAGTTGTCTCTTACTCAACAGCCAATTTTTATTCCCATTTCCAACACTGAGCTCTTTGCCTGTGCTTGGGCAATGCAACAGTTCAACAATCAGGAGCAACTGGGGCAATAGTTCTTAATTACTGTTTGCTGTGGTTTATTCAGTGAGTGACAACTGGGCAGGAAGAGTCCTGAGAAAATCTCTTCTGGAAGTGGTGATGAGAAGCTGTTTTCCTTTATCTGGGATCACACAAGGCCCTCAGAACAAGAACAGAGATTTCTCATACGTAAGACAGGGAAAATATTTGGGGTTTGACTCCTGAGCTGTGTCCAGGTGAGAAATATTCTCCCTTTTATTTAAGGAGTCAACTTCGCCACCTCCTTTTTCTTCTCACTCCATCTGCTCTGCTCCTTTTACCTTCCTCCATTCCAGCTGCTCTTCCCCACCCCAGGTTCTGTTTTCCACCCTCAGAACCACCTGCCTTCTCTGTCTTTCTGCACCAGCTCCTCTCTTGCTTCAGCAGCAGGTCCCACGGCTGCCTTTGACCTGCAGTTCCTCTCTGAAGGCACAGCACATATCCAGTCCCAAACCACCAGCCCACCCCTCTTCAAGATCCTTGCTGGAAATAAGAACAGAAATTAAGCAGCTTTCCAGAGAAAAACAGAAAGTCCCTCCTCACCTATAACTGAAGAGACTTTGGATTATTGGAACCAAAACTAGTGAGGAAAAAGCAAATAATGTGATTAACCTGTCAGGTGTTGCTGTTCTTCTCCTGCACCACAGTTCAGAAGAGAATTCTCCAAAACCCTCCTGCAAAGGTACTGAGCAGAAAGAGGTATAGCTGTGCCCCTGGAGTGTTTTATACATCTCAGCTCCATGTTTCACAACTGTCCTTACACCATTTGCTCTGGGATGAAGGAAAAATGAATTACAAGTGACCTCTGTGATTTGCTTAAGCCCAAGAGGAAGTTTGGAGAAACAGCAGCGCTAAACTCCCAACCACCGTGCTTTAACCTGCTGTGCTTTAACCACCCCCAGGTTGGGATTTTCCAAAGTAGGATCTGCCTCTGAAATCTGTTTGTTTAAAAAAACTCAAACCAAACAAACCAAAACCCAAACCTGTGACTGATGTCAAAACAAGCTTCTCTTTGGTGCAAAAATGGGCTGAAGTACCAGGCGCTACGGGAATGTCTTACATTCATTCCAGGAGGGTTGTCTGCCTGGGAAGATACTTTTTCCTTGAACTTTGCTGTCTAATAGCACTGGAACCTCGTTGTTTACTCCAGTGGAAAGGGAGTATAAACTGCACTACCTGTGCAGTGTTGTAGGAACCATCTCAGTTGCTCACTGCCCTGGTGATGCAGCAGCTCTGCTGAGGCACACAGGACATTTTGAAATGGGTACAGTGAGACTCTGAAATGCTGGAAAAGTCCAAATTCCCTTTCTCTTCCCGTGTTCTGAACATGAGGACAAGCTCCATTTCAGAGGTATGAGATGAAACCTTTCTGGCCTCACTGGGGGCAGAGGAGCCTGAGCTGTGCTGGGTCCCACCAGCCCTTCCCACCTCTGCCTCCCCACGGGACAGTTTGAGAACCAAAGCCCCAATTTTTATTCCTCCAGATTAGCACATTTCAGAGCTGCAGAGGAAACTTGCACTAATCCACTTAAATCAATCCCCTTGGACTGATTCCTTGGAGGTTTCTCACATTTTTCTGAAAGAATGAAGCCACAACTGGGATGAAATTCCTGCAACACATCGAGCCATTATCTCACTCCCTGCCAGACACACGGGGTGTCACAGCAATGGACAGAGATGTTTTCTTCAGGAACAACTGTGGAGGGGTTAGTTATACATTTGTAACCTTTGGTGTGTAGCTGTGTCCTCTGTGCACACTCCCAGACATCATCCATCCATCCCATCCATCCATCCATCCACATCCCTCCCTCCACCCCTCCATGGCCTGGAGGCAAAATTTGCTCCCCAGAAGCCAAAGTGCAAAAGCATCCATGAGAGAACCCCTTAGCAGAGCTCTAATGTGCTCTGTGTGACATAAAGATAAAATTTGCCACCTTTTCCACTGCTGGAATGTGGCACATCCAGCATTTTTGGAATACAGCAGCCCCATGTTCATCCATCTATGCCTCTTAATCTGATTTTACACTAAACTATGCAAAGAATAAAGTAATTACAACAAAAAATTATCAGACTATCTAATGAGCTAATGAATATAGACCAATTATTTAAGAACCAAAGAGACAATTAAAATGAAGGATAATATAGTCTACTAATATGTCACATTATTAATGATTAACACCTTTTGATCAAAAATACATCTATTTAAAACTTAATTCCCATTTAATGTGTAAAAAGTGCATTGCAAGGCCTTCAAAATGCTACATAAGGCTTCTGTCAACACATAATAATATAAAAAAATAGAAACATGGTCCTTCCACAAAATATTGAGCTGCAAATCATGAAATCAGTTTGTCTGGTTGGTGTAGGGCTGCCTTGACATCCTAAGTAATGTTATTTCTTCAAACAGTATTATACATTTCAGGTATTTTTTTCAAAATATAGACACCACATTTTTATAAACTGATGATTTCATTCCTTAAATTTGGATTTCCACATATGCCAATTAACCCAAGGCAAAATACTCCTTGTCTCCCTTCTAATGGCCTGGGTTTCATGTCATAAATTTATTACATAGTATGTGATAAACCACACACAACTGTACCTAGCTGGGAATGGGAGGGGCCCCAAGAAATATTTGCTGCCTTTGAAAATGCTGTTTTAGAATGACACTGAGCCTTCTGTGGGGGAGAACTTTAGTCTGTGAGTGTTTTTCAGTCTTAGTCCAGGCCTGCCTGGGGCTTCTGCTGCTCAAACTCTGCATGTTAAACCTCATTCTGGTCATTTATATTAAATCCCATTTTAAAATCAGAATGATACATTCCAGATTTCAATTAAAATACCCAAACACCAGAGTGTTCAGGAACTGGAGAACCTGGATTACCAGAGAGAAGACCCTGGGAGCAGCCTTGAATTGGCTTCTATAATTTACACAGCTCTGTGCAGAAATAACCACGAGCCACCACTGCACAGCAAACCTGGAGTAAGACTTGTGATTTAAAATAGATATATTGACATTAAAACATGTTAAATTATTAATTATTATTAACAAGGATAAAACGTTAAGGGTTAAAAAATCCCAGTGCTACAATTCTCTACGTTTACTCTCTGGATGGGAATAAAATGGAATCATCAGAAGTATTTGTCACTACTATGATGATGGAAATACTGAACGTGGGGGTATTTTCTGTAGGAAAGTAAGAGTGGCATTTGCTAATATAAATAATTACTTTGAACTGGCAGCCAGGTAGTGACAGTGCCATAAAAACAGGCAGCAGAGGAGATGCGATGGCCCTGAAAAAATCATCCCTGTGCTGTTTTATATCCCACAGCTGCACTAGTTGAGGAGATATTTGCCTAAAATCATTTCACTGTGGTGCAAACCCTCCCAGGACTCTGCTCAGCAGCCGAAAGCAGTTTAAGCCTCATCACTACTCTGAGCTACGTCAAATTTACTACAGACATTTTGGATGCACAGAGTCCAAAGATCTGCTAAAATCATGGATTTTTTAATCTCATCTATCCTAAAAAAAAAAAAAAAAAAAATCCCACAGTTTCCCACTGGAAGCAGAAGCTGCTGCAGGCTGGGGGTGTTTGGGGTTTGGTCCCCTCCCTCTCCCGCGTTTCCTCCGGCACTCGCAGGAAAAGCCGGGGCTCCCCCGAGTCCAACTGTCCCATTGAAAGATTCCAAGTGAGACAGAAGAGTATTCTCAGCACAGCCCCAGCCTCCCACTCGCTAATTGGAGGCCAGTCCCCATTTTGTGGAGCCTTGATGCTCCCCCATGGAGAACTCGGGACTGTGGGTTCCAGCCCCGGACTGTGGTGACAGCAGGAGAGTAAACAGAGCTGATAGAATTTGACAGGTCTATTCTTTGCTTAAAATCATTCAGTCTAAAAGATTTGCTTTTACATAATCCAAAGTGTTTTCTCATGAAGTAGGACAAATACTGCTCTGCATTTATGGTGCAGTGAAGATTTTATGCATTTTTATCAGAATTTGCCACTATTAAACGAGGTCAAATAATTTATTTTAAAGCCGTGTATCACAAGCGGGCTAAAAACTTTAGAGAACTGGGATCTGTGAGTTCCAAATGTTTCACAGAGAATCCAAAGTAGTTTCTAAAAGCAGCTGATTTGTGAGTAAAAGAAAATTGCAATTCCTTTACTGCAGTAAGATAAATTCTATCTTTCTCCCCCCCAAAGACAGATTTTTCTGCAGCTATGACTCAAATAGTTCTCCTCATAAAAAGAGTCTTTGTTAAGGTGGTGAGTTCTGCAGGGCACTGAAGATGCAGACTTAAATCCAAGTCCTCAGCAGTTTCTCTCATCCACACCCTTCATTAAATCCCGAATAATTTCTTTGCAAATATTTACACAGCCAAGAAAAATGCCCAGAGCAAACAGTGCCTCCATAAACAGCAAAACAGCTCCACAGACCTTTTTCCACAGAGGCTCCAGGGACTATAACAAATCACTTGTTGAGCTGCAAGAGGCTGCGCTGCAGCGCTTGCATTTTGAATAGAGGGAGGCTGAGAGAAAAATACCTGCACTCAAGAAATGGGTACAAACCCCCAAGGCTGGGAGGAGGGAGTCTCTCACTTCTTATTTTAAAACAAGAAATTAATTTCTTTCTATTTTTTTTCCCTGGATCGTGTCCTGTATTGCTGTATTTCTTGGAGCTTTGCATCATGTGACAAGATGTAACCTAACATAACCCAGGGCTCTGTAACTCATGCAGAACTCTCCTGTGACTTCTAACAATACTTTTTAAATGATAAATGGAAGCCCAGTGGCCCAGGTAAATTAAATTATCAAAGGCTCTTGACAAATCCAGATTTGTTCCCACCACTATTAAAAGACCTTTGACATATCAGTGCTTTGGAGGGCTGCAAAAGTACTTGTTTTAATTAAAATCTCTTCTAGTGCCTATTGCACTTATTTAGGCTCTCCATGGCTGCTCCATAACAATGCAAAAAGTGATCTGAAAGGGAACTTTCAGTAATTATTATTTAACAAGGATATCCTTCTCTGGCAAGGTTTGTGAAGGAGAAGGAGTTTAAAAGGGAGGTCAGCCCTCCTTTTAGGGCAGCCCTCCTTCAGCACCTCCTTTGGAGGTGTGTTTATCAAATGTAGATTAGTATCAAAATCAGAGAACCATAGAATTATAGAATGATAAGGGTTGGAAAAGACCTCCAAGATCGTCAAGTCCATCCGAATCCCACCCTGCCCACTAAACCACGTTGTGAATCTTTCACACAGGAATGCTTTTCCATAAGGAATGTGCTGTAACCAATCATCAGCTTAGAAATCTTATTTTGAGTGGAGAAATAATGCAGATAATTTTTTAAAAGAAGAAGAAAAGTGGATTTCTACATGCTAAAGGGATTTTTGTTGGAAATAAGGAGGAAATACCACGGGTTAGCAGGATTTGACAGTGCAGGGGTCACTTTGGAAATGGAGAAGTGCCTCACCTGTATTCCTGGGAAGGGTGGTGGTTTTGCCCTGAGTTCCTAATGATTCCTGACATTATGGCCGGGATATCACTCTCTATCATCTCCTTGGGCAGCAGCAGGCAGGGTCAGCAGCAGTAGCTATCCAGCACTTCAGCAGCGGCGGGAGGCACCGGGGCACGGCCCGGCCGGGGACCGGCACCGCCACGTGCACTGGTGGTACTGGGAAAGGCAGGAGAACATCTCACGGGGGATAATCCCGGCTCAGAGCGGGACCGCCGAGGGAGGGACAGCCACGGGCAGGGACTGTGGATCCCGGGAGCACCGGCAGCCGGGAGCGCTCCCGCCTCGGGGCCGCCCTTATCCCCCAGGCAGCATCCGCCGCCGCGTTTTGGAAGCCCGAGCTGCGGGAGCTGCAGCGGTCCCGGTGGGCCCCGGCGATGGGGTGAACCGGGGAACCCCGGCCCCGCTGCCCCGGCGATGGAGGGATCCCGGGAGAATCCCAGCCCCGCTGCGCGGGGATGGAGACAGTCCGGTGTGCTCCAGCCCCGCTGCCCCAGGGATGGGGTAAGCCGAGGGTTCCCAGCCCCTCTGCTCCGCGAATGGGGCGGGAGCCCGGGTGAACCCCAGTCCCGTTGTCCCAGGAATGAGGGAAACAGTGGGACCCCAGCTCCGCTGCTCCAGAAATAGAGGGGGATCCTGGGGGATCACCAACCCCGCTGTCCCAGGGATGGAGTGAGCTGGGGGTCCCCGCCACCACTGCCCCGGAGATGGAGGGGGAACCCGGAGTTTCCGAGCCTCGCTGACCCGAGGGTGGAGCGATCCCCCGAGAACCCCATCCCGCTGCCGGGGGATGGAGAGAGCCCGGGTGATCTCAGCCCCGCTGCCCCAGGGGTGGAGGGGGAGCCCAGGGAACTCAACCCCGCTGCCTCAGAGATGGGGAAGGATCCCGGGGCTCTTCGACCCCACTGCCCGCGGGATGGAGCGATCCCGGGAGAAGCCCATCCCGCTGCCCGGGGACGGAAAGAGCCCGGGTGATCCCAGCCCCGCTGCCCGGAGATGGAGAGAGCCCGAGGTTCCCCCTCCCCTCCCCGCCGCGCCGACCCCCCGCGCCCCGGGCCTGGCGCTGCCGCCGTCGCTGCTGCACGAACCTGCGGGCGGGGGGCCCGGCGGGGTCTGATGTCGGGCCCGGCGGGGCCGCGCTCCGGCCCCGGTTTAAATTTCCCTCTCCGGAGCTGTCCAGCCCGAGCATGCGCGGCCCGGCCCGGGGTCAGCGCCGGGGCAGAGCGGGCAGGGCCGGCCCCGCGCCCGCCGCGGAGCCCGCACCGCCCCCGCACGGCCCGGGAGGGGCCGGCGTGCCATGGGATGGGGTGGGGTGGGCGGGCGTGTCCGCGGGGAGCAGGGCAAATAAACGGGAAAAACCCAACTAACCCAACTCCGGGCAACTCTGCGGAGGGACGAGGGGGAGGGATCCACCGGCTCGAACGGGCACCGGCGGGAGGGGAGGGGGGGAGGCTCGGGGGGGGATCGCGGCGCTGCCCGATGGCTGAGCTCGGTGCCCTTTTCGCGGTGCCTGGACCTCGGTGCCCTTTTCGCGGTGCCCGGCGCTCTGTGCCCGGCGTGCGGAGCCCGGTGCCCGCCACCCTGTGCCCAGTTCCCGGTGCTCGGAGCCCGGCGCTCCGTGCGTCAGGTGCCCGATGCCCAGTACTCTGTGCCCTTCTCCCCGTGCCCAGTGGCCGCAGCCCCGCTCGGCGCCGCGGGGAGCGGAGCGGAGGCAGTGCCTGGACGCGCCTCTGCCCTCCCACCGCCCGTCCCGCTCCGGGATGACCGCGGAAAGGACCCGCCGCAGCGGGAAAGGGAGCCCGGACAGCCCGGGAGGCTGCACCGCACGTTTTGCTGCCTTAGCGCTGACACTGTGAGCGGGGTGAGGCCCCGGTACAGGTTGCCCCATACCTGGCAGTGTCCAAGGCCAGGTTGGATGGGGCTTGGAACAACCTGGTCTAGTGGAAGGTGTCCCTGCCCATGGCAAAGGGGTGGAACTGGAGGTGCTTTAAGTCCCTTCCAACCCAAACCACTCCGGATCTCCATGGACCTGCAGCCGTGAGGCGAGGGGTGGTTGCCCCACCAAGGGTGGGCAGAGGTGGAGGGGACACGGTCCTGCCCCTGGAAGGCACCCACAGAGCCCAGCCAGCCCAGGGGATGCAAGTGGGAGGGAGGGACCCAGGGAGGAGACTGAGGGGTCTGGTAGATGTCAGCGCCTTTATTTAACTACATTTACACATAAAATAAACAAATAGTCCCCCTGTATTCAGCACTGGTGAAGACCTCAAATCCTGGGGGTAGTTCTGGGCCCCTCAGCACAGGACAAACATTTGGGGTGTCTGTCAGCATGTCTGTCAGAGGGCTCAGGGAATGGAGCTGGGGAAGGGTCTGGAGACTCAGGAGCAGCTGAGGGAGCTCGGGGGCTCAGCCAGAAGAAGAGGAGGCTCAGGGAGGACCCTCTGCCTCTCTATAACTCCCTGACCAGGAGAGGTTTGGGTTGGACATCAGGAGGAATTTCTTCACAGAAAGGGTTGTCGGGCATCAAAACAGGGACCAGCCTCCCTTGTTAGGAAAATGGCTTTTATGTTGAAGCAGTTTGAGGTCAGTGATGACACCAGATCATTTGGGATCTGCATAGCAAAGCTTAAATGTGGAAATACTTCCAATATCCTTGCATGATGAAACCCCAGAAGATTAATGATAAACATATTTCCTTGTGCTTCACAGTTTAACAGAGTATGGAGAGGAGGAAACGTGAAGACAGAGATCTTTCTTTTTCTGCTCTTAATGAGAATCTGTTCACTTCGATGAGCATCAAATCTCCTTCTGTTAATTGCTGTTGATAGAAGTGCAGATTAATCAATATTTCCATACATCAAGGCCTATACCAGGCACATCTGGAGAACCAAAATAAGAGGAAAAGTCTCAGTACTGCCAGAGCCTAAGGCACGGAGTTTGCACAGTTTCAAGTGTTTCCTTAATTACAGAGTTATTAAAATGTCATCTTTTAGTCATTATATCCTTAAAAACCACTTTAAAAAAATGCAGTCCTGGAGCTGGATCTTTGCAGGAAGGGTGAGGATAAAACACACCACTTCTTTCAGCCTTCCTTGGAGCTGTTCAGCCCATTGTGTGGAGCTTTTCGCCTGACTGGTTCCCTGTAGCAGAACATTCCATGCAGGATTCATTTCTCCAGGTGATTTGCATACCTCCTGCTTGGAAGGGCCACATCAGACCAGGTGAGGAGAAAGGGTGGCTCCTGCCTCGCTTACTCACTGGGGGAGCTTAAACTGGAACGGGGAGGGATAAACGGGCTTAGTTCTGCAAGCACTTGGAAGAGCACGCGGCAAGTTGCAACAAGGAAAATTCCAGTTAATTGTTACAAAAACCTTTTCACAATGAGGTCCAGCACTGCAACGGGGCACAGGGGGGTGGTTGAGTCCCTGCCCTTGGAGACACTCGCAATGGGACAGGACAGAGCTCTGAGAAATCCGTGGAATGGTTTGGGTGGGAAGGACCTTAAAGCTCCTTTCATCCCACCTGCCATGGGCAGGGACACCTTCCACCAGCCCAGGGTGCTCAGAGCCAACTGCTCTGTGTCACATCTGCTCAGAGTTTGAATTCAGGTAAACTGCAAACTGATGATTGGATTTCCAGAGATTGGCTGTAGCCGATTTTTCCTTGTTGTAGGTGTTTTCTCACCAGTTCTCTTACTCTGGAGACATTATGCTGTGCAGGAAAGGAATATCAATGTGTTTTGTCTTCCGATATACAGTAACTGGGTTCCTTTAAGCGAATTTTAAAATGAGAGAATACAAGATGTGGAGAATTCTGTTTTTATTTATAGTCTTATTTAGATTAAGGAATAGGGCATGTTCACCTGCCACAACTGAAATAATTTTTACAGTGAATATTAGCAGAGAAATGTGGTTTAGGTACTTTTATTTATCCAATTTCTGTTGGATTTATTTGGTGACATGTAAAATCAATTGTAGCCTTTAAAATAACATAATGTTCAGCAATCAGTTTCTTCCTTTTCTTGGAAAAGTTTATACTGGTGTAGCAAATAACACAATAAAACAACACAGGTAAAATAGGGATTTACTTTGTAAAGACAATAATTTTCTTGTGTGTGAATTTCTACAAAAATATTTTGAATTTCTATAGACTTTCATTTAAACTGTAGTAATTGAATTCATTTTGCTGCCAGCTGAGGTCATCATAAAACAAGCTTGGTTTATTTTCCAAGCTCTCCAGTTTGCTTTAGGAGACAAGTGAGGAAAAAGAAAACAAACAAACAAGCAAGGGAGAGTTGAGGAACCCTCAAAAACAGAGGTTTATGAGAACTCTGTGAAGACTTTGGCAACTTCTGTGTAACCAGACTGGAAAATCAAAATATTTCCCCCATCTCTTATCAGTCTGGACTGGGACTGGTGTCTGTGGTGAACCCAGGATGGCTGAACAGCAGCTTCATGTTCACTGATCATCTTTTTCTGTGAAGGAACAGTGGTGTGTCCTCACTTCGAGCTTCCTACTCCTCACTTGGCTTTTTTCGTGATTATACTTTTCATCCTTCTTCGCCTGAGGGTCTAAAACATGTGGAGAAAATAATGATGTGAACTCAGATCAGTACCCTCTGTTTGGTGAAATGTGGTGATTTTAAAGCATTTAGTGCTCTGTAAAAAGGAAGAATTTCCTTGCACACTTCAAGCCAGCTTTGTTTGATGTGAAAGAGAGGATTCTTTAGCTCCTCCTTTATTTACCCAGTGCCTTTACAATTCAGCCCTTCAGTCCCCTCCTTACAAAATATTCTATTTGCACTTTAAACTGCAACTTCATCCTGCAGATTCTCAGTCCCTGATGAAGATGGGAATCATGTTGTACTTCACCCCCCCTCCCAGTGCCCAGGTCTGGGGTTGTTTTCTCTCCCTCAGAAATAAAAAGCAGCTATTTCAGTTCCCCACGGGCTCTTTTCCCAGGGCATTCATATCGGAATGAAACCAATGTGCAAGTGGATTCTGGCCAAGCCATTTGAAACCCAGGAAACTTTACAAGCTTCCCCCTTTTATCCCCTTGGAAAAGCCCCGACCGTTTGTTTTATTCCAGGATACTGTATCGTAACAAATTATACTTAAAAATCATTTGGTGTGAAATTGCAGATTAATCCCACCGGGCCGGGGGCTCAGCCCTGTCTGGCCACTCGGGAGCACACAGATGGTGGCTCTGAGAGGGACAAAAGGCACAGGCACTGATTACATGCATGGATGTAACGGACAAAAAGCCCTTCCCCACGGAGAAGGTGAGGAAAACACACCGGAGGTCCCAGTGCCTGCTTTGGGCAGGCAAACTGCATTTTAAACTGTTGAAAACGTGCCACAAACAAAGGGAAACCTGCTTTTCCTCCCTTTAAAATCCCTTTGTTTTTACTTCCTAAGGCAATTACAACTTTTCTTATTTTTTCTTGTTGCTGTTTTGTTTTATTGCTTCTTTAGGCAGCAAACACCAACAAATGGTGATTCCTTTTGCAGTCTGGCAGTTTCCCTCACTGCCCTGTTCCTAAAACAGTGCCTGCTGTTCTGTATTCCGCAGGGACACAGTTGTCCTGCTTGCTGGGAAGTGCTGAAAGTCCAGCCTGGAAGAAATGAATCTTCATCCTCGTGAAGATGAAGTTGCTGAAGTTAAAAGTGCCATCTGACCTACTCACTGATTTTAAGGCGAAATTGTTCACACTTAAGAACAAAATGCATCGTGTGCTGCGTGTTCCTGGTGGGAATTCAGGAGTGTGAGTACAGTGGCCAGTCTCTGGAATGTCCAAAGCCGGGTTGGAAGGGGCTTGGAGCAACCTGGGATAGTGGAAGGTGTCCCTGCCCATGGCAGGGGCTGGCACTGGATGAGCTTTAGGTCCCTTCCAACCCAAACCATTCTGGGATTTGCCAAATGCCTGGAAAACTGGACCTGTGGCTCCTCATTGCCCCTGCAGCAGAAATCTTGCAGAGCCAGGACTGTGTGTGCTTTAAAGAGCTCGCAGAGCTCCCAAACCAACCCAACAAGGCACACAGAACCTGACAATATATCTATAATTTAGCCACTTAAACCTAAGCTTCGGACACTTTTATCTTTGTGAGTGAACTGCAAGATTATTTTGCCTTGATATTTGTCTATTTTGTGGCAAAATGTCGTTTATAGATGATACAATTGTGCAGTGCCGTTATTATATGCAATAATATGGAGGAAGTGTTGTGACAGGAGAATTCTGGTTGGCTGGTGTGTTTTCCACCACTTCAGATGGCCAACAGAATTGCTTTTATCACACACTGTCAGGAGATTTTAACCCTCAAAATGTCATTAATGAGAAAGTGATCTCTGAGAAATGTAGTTTTAGTGTATTTTCACATAGCCTCCAGCAAAACAGTTACTTTTAGAAATACAGGGCTTAGC